CACCCTCACCATGTTCTCATTTAACGAGAAACAGCAGCATTCACAGCCATGCCCTGAATATTTGAAAGGGTGGGCACCACTGGGAAGACAAACCCTTCCAGGAAATTCAGCAAAGGTGGCTTCTTGTTAAGTGCAAACAAGGTTGTTCCCTCATTTCGAACGAGCCCATGGGATTCAGCAAATGCTTTCTTTTGGTACATTAAGCCTCCTGGGTGCCTCTGGACGTACTGTCAGAGCAGGACTTAGGGGCAGAGATGTAGGGAGGAAGCTAACAGGGAGACCGGAGAGTCCTGCCTGCCCCACTCCCCTGCTGAGGCACTGTGAGGGGGCAGCCAGGAGCAGCTGATCACCCCTCTGCATTGAGGAGACCCTCTGAGCGAGATGGAGGATGGGCACCTGCTCACAGCACTAGCCTTCTGGCTGGCAGTGGGAAGCCTCTCCTCCTGCCCCGCTCCTTCCGGATGAGCCAGAGCACCAGCGGCAGCAGCAAAGGAAAGGCGTGGGATGGGGGTGCACAACGAGGCACGGAGAAGCAGTGGGGAGCACAGTGTGGCAAGGCATGTGCTCTCCTGCCTCAGGGTGTGTGAAAGTTTATGCGGGTCTGTTCTGGACTTGTAGAAATTAGGACAATACTTAATAATGCATGCTTGCAAAACATCCTAATGTTGTGAATTGAGAAGAGTTTTTCACCAAAACAGTGAAAGATTGATCTTCAAAATATCCTGAATCTTTCATGGACTCTAAACAGCAAAAGGAAATAATCAACAATCAATAATAGACATGTTTTCAGTAAGTACAAAAACAGTTGCAGTCAGAGGAGTCCTACATGTCCAAGAACAAAATATTAAACTACTATTATACAATATTCTGTTCTGTTCTGATCAGAGTGATCCCGTTTCATAAAAGTAGGAAAATTTTCCTGATTTATAATAGGATTTTCAAAGCTTTCTAATGCTGAAATCCAGTTCCAGGGATGTTGAGAAATAGCTGGAAATATGTAGAGAGTTGCTTTCTTGATTTTCAGAAGCTGAGAATTTTCAAGGGAGAGGTGTTGTAGCGCAATCGAATGAGACCACTGGACAAGTAGTATGGAGAGTTGAAGGGTCCTTTAATATACCTGCACAGGGACCAACACTCTGAGGGGAGTGCGGTCCCTGGTATTGGGATGGTACAGTTTTTATACATGTTCTACCCGGATGTACTTGGCGCTAATCGTTACTTTGTGCGCCAGTGGGAAAAGTACCATGTTTCATATTAAGCAAGCGTGAAGTACAGAAGCTCAAGTTTGCGGTTAAATTTGCTTTTGCAAGCTCATTGTTGCATATCAAGCGTTCCTTGCTGTATGTAGCGCATTCAGTGTTGCATATCAATGCGCCCCCTGCTACCCGTAGCAACTCCCTGTTATTGTGCCAGCCACCTCCTGTTATTGTGTTCAACGAACAGGCCCACCTTTCATGTTCAGGTCTATCGGACACAACAAGAGGAACTGCATAAATGCTGATTTTTTTTGTGAAAGGCATCCTGGATGAAATAAGAAGCAAATTTGATGGCAATTTTTCCTCAGATTGCTTGTCAGAGTTATGGATGGAATTCCCACCTGGCCTCCATCCACAGTGCCGAAGAAAATGACTTCATTTTTCACCTGATGGGCAAGCCACTGAATCACCTTGAAGGAGAGGCCTACTGGATCGGTGGCCATGACCTCTTTAAGGTAGGTGTGCATGTTCCTTAGCTATTCAGAACAGAGGATAGATCAGCATAATCTTAACAACTGAACCAAAAAGGTTCTGAGACCTATTGCAAGCAGCAGCCAATTCCTTCTTGGATGGCTTTCAAGACAGATAAAAGCATATTTATTTATCCCATTCATTCATTTATTAGCGTTATATTCTGCCTTTTTCTTTTTCAAAGCACTCAAAATGGCTTTCATCATTCTTCTCCTCCTCCTGCCCTCAGTCCTATCTCCACAGCAACAACCCTTTGAAGTAGGATGGCCTGAGAGCCTGTGACTGGCCCAAAGTCACCCAGTTGGCACCCTGGCTGAGTGGAGACTAGAACCCAGATCTCCTGAGTCCCAGTCCCACACCCTTAACCACTACTCCATGTTGGCATATGAGATTTTGTTCTCCTCTCCCTGTTCAATCCTAATCTACAATACACTTAGTAGTGTTTTCATGAAGTTACATACAGCCCTTGCATTTTAACAGCCTGGCCAGCCTGCCCTTGACATGTTAATTAGAAATAAATCTTGCTGAATTCAGTCAGTCTTGGGCCTGAAATCATTATAAAACTTCCATGTCTGATGAAAAGGATCTGGGAGAAGAGATGATTGTACCTCCTAATACATCCTTTTTTTTGGCGAAAGTTCCTTGTAAAAGAATGACTGAGTTTGGTGGCAGCCACACCCTCACCATGAAGTTTAAAACCCACCAACCAAGGACTCCATTCTTCAAAGGGTATCATTAGCTTCCCTATAAGATGCTGCTAATAAAGTAGAGTGAGAGCAAAGGCCCATGTTTATGGGATTCAGATTTCCTTAAAAACAATCCTTTTAGAGGAGAATTCTGTTTGTCCAATAGTGTCATACCCTTCATTTCTGTTGTCACCAGAAATGTACTTAGTGTGTGGACCCACCCTTTCTACAAACCCTAAACTTACATCCCAAATGAGCTGGTCAGTACCAGCCAGGTAGGCTTTAAAGAAAGATCTTAACAGGCAAATGTCTGCTGGCGAGCAAAACTTCAGATCTGTCCAGTTCAAGCTTCCCCGCAAGGTGCCAAGAGCTTGATGCACAAAAGGCACGGCTGAACTATGGCAGAATGCAGGAGTTTGTCACTCTGGCATTCATGAAGGCAGAATGCTATTCACAGGCATTCTTGTGAAGGTCTTCGCTTCAAATATGGTCACTAACTCTGTGCGTTTGCTTTTTTTAAGGAGGGGACCTTTGTGTGGACAGATGGTTCCACATTTGATTTCAAGACATTTCCTCCCAATCAGCCTGATGGACCGTTAGGAGAACACTACCTTGGATCCTGGATTTTACAAAATGGTTAGAAATGTCCCTATACCTATGAATGAACTTCTTGTTCCACAGTGCGATGCATGGATTGTGAGGGTGGGGGTTGGGGAGGGATTTATTGGGCAACATGAATGGAAATGTGTGCGCATGTGCAGGTGCTTGTACATAGTCTAGGCACATAATGATGGGGAGGGGAAATGGAAAAAATAACTGCAGTCTATAGGCAGGAACAGGGAAAGGGCAGTTTTTGTGCATAGTGAGGACCAGAGGAAGGCACAGGGATCGCAGAAACTGCTCTGCTCATGTGATTGGCTGACTGGCTAGTTCCAGCAAAAATCTGCACACCCTGGAAACAGCACAGAGTTGTTTGGTGCATCATGTGAACCTACCCTTGACTGTCCCTCCTCGACTCACACTTTCACTCTATCTCTTTAAGGATTTGTCACCTGGAATGACTATCGCCTTTCATGGAAATTCCCATCTGTGTGCAAATACAACTTGGAAAATAGGTAAGAACTGGATTCACTCCCCTCAAAGCTGGATATGCCACCTTTGCTATTCCGTGGAGCTGCTTGGGCCACACATAGACGCACACTTGCAGCTGCAGCTTGCACAGAACTGCCTCTCCAGTAAGGAAAACAGGGGAGAAAAGAGCCTCTCTGGAGAATTTTTTCTCACCTTGTGCCATGTTCCTGGCTGTTCAGTCACCCTTAGTCCCCCAGATACATCTGACAGGTAAAGCAGGGGGTGGATCCTTCTCCCCTCATTTTACACAATTTCTGTGCCGCTTA